AATCAGACGGCAGTAGCAGTGAGCAAAGGTGGCCTCTACACAGCTGCTGTGTTGTTGCTTTGCCTGGCTCTCAGTCTCCCCAGATAACTTCCTCTTCTGCGGGGCCTCACTGGGAGACAAGTTTTGGTCTGTGTTTTCTGTCACAGAGGCCATGAGTCATCACCCAAGAAGAGGCTGTTTCAGAGCCAAAGGGGTCATAGGTTCTAGTCCCATGTCCAGCACTTTCCAGCTGTGTGTCCTTGGGGGCCCCTGTCCTCCCTCTCTAAGCCTCAATTTCCTCATCTGTAAAATGAGGGCAGCAGAGAGGCTCCAGTGAGGGTAGGAATATCCAGTGTTTGGTGCATAGTAGATGTTCAGTAAGTGGTTGTGGATGCTTTTAGCCCGTCTCCCAGTGGAAATTTCCATGGGAGAGGTCAGCATCAGTGTGGAGGGGTTTAGAAGATGATGGGAGCCCTGAAGCCCAGTATGTTTGGAAGCTGAAGCCTGGGACTGCCCTTGGATAAGGAGGCCAGGAAGTAGGACAGACTGTACCAGTGTGTTGGGCCTAACCTCATCAAAGGGCCTTTTTTAATTCCTTCCTACCTTCCTTCCTTTCCTTCCTTCCTTCCTTCTTTCCTTCTTTCCTTCCTTTCCTTCCCTCCCTTCCTTCCTTCTTTCCTTCCTTCCTTCCTTCCCTTCCTTCCTTCCTTTCCCTCCCTTCCTTCCCTTCCTTCTTTCCTTCCTTCCTTCCTTTCCCTCCCTTCCTTCCTTCCTTCATTCCCTTCCCTCCCTTCCTTCCTTCCCTTCCCTCCCTTCATTCCTTCTTTCCTTCTTTCCTTCCTTCCTTTCCCTCCCTCCCTTCCTTTCTTCCTCTTTCCTTCCTTCCTTCCCTTCCCTCCCTTCCTTCCTTCCTTCTTTCCTTCCTTCCCTTCCCTTCTTTCCTTCTTTCCTTCCCTTCCCTTCCTTCCTTCTTTCCTTCCCTTCCCTTCCTTCCTTCCCTTCCTTCTTTCCTTCCCTCTTTCCTTCTTTCCTTCCTTCCTTCCCTTCCCTTCCTTCCTTCTTTCCTTCCTTCCTTCCCTTCCCTTTCCTTCCTTCCTTCCTTCCCTTCCCTTCCCTTCCCTTCCCTTCCCTTCCCTTCCCTTCCCCCTCTTTCCTTCCTTCCTTCCTTCCTTCCTTCCTTCCTTCCTTCCTTCCTTCCTTCCTTCCTTCCTTCCTTCAATGGAGTCTCATTCTGTCACCCAGGCTACAGTGCAGTGGCAGGATCTTGGCTCACTGTAGTCTCTGCTTCCCGGGTTCGAGCAATTCTCCTGCCTCAACCTCCTGAGCAGTTGAGACTACAGGCACATGCCACTGTACCCAGCTAATATTTGTATTTTTTTAGTAGAGATGGGTTTTTGCCAGTTGGCCAGGCTGGTGTCAAACTCCTGATCTCAAGTGATGCACCCACCTCGGCCTCCCAAAGTGCTGGGATTACAGGCATGAGCTACTGTGCCCAGCCAAAAGAGCCTTTTCTAATTGCAGACAGTAGCTTCAGGATATCAGCAAGTTCATTTCACAGATGAGAAAAACTCTAGTCCATGGTGGCGAAGGCATCTGGACTAGAATTCAAACCCAGCCCTGGGTGATTCCAGATTAGCCTTTCTGCAGCTCCTGTACAGGCGCTAAAGGTGGGCAGCCCAGAGCCGGCTTCTCTCTGCTTTCTCTTCAGCAGCATCTAGCTGACCAGATTATTCCAGAGAAGGCAAATTCACGTCCAGAGCTGGCTTCACATCCAGGCATCTCCTGTTACAGGGGATTCAAATTTAGCTGCAGCCACCCCAGCTGCCAGGATTCTGGTTCTCTGCAAAGAAGGTTGAGGGCCAGGAAGCCAGGAGAGGCAGGCATGCTAGTGACTGCCATTCATTGGTTCAGCCACTCACTCACTCAGTGCGCAGTCATTGAACAAATGCTTAGTAGTGCCTTCCACGTGCCAGGCCTGTGTGGGATGCCAGGGCTACTGTGCAAACCACATAAGCGTGGTGCCTTATCTGACCTCCCCCTCCCCGGAGCTCATAGCGCGTAAGCAGATGATAGGGCAGTGTGATGAAGTTGAGGCTGGGGAGTGTGGAGGTGTTGCTTGGCCCCTCATGGAGGAGCATCATTGAGGACTTCCCGGTGGAGGTAACAATTGAGCTGGAACCAAACTCAGCAGAAGGTAGCCTGGGAAAGGAGACCAAGAAAAGCACTCAGGCCAAGGGAACAGCCTAGGCCAAGGTGGGAAGGCACACAGTATAGACATAGAAGGGTCCCTTCCCCCAAACATGACTTTGTCCTGTTTCAAGCATGCATCCTCTGGCCAGGTGCGGTGGCTCATGCCGGTAATCCCAGCACTTTGGGAGGCCGAGGCAGGAAGATGACTTGAGCCCAGGAGTTTGAGACCAGCCTGGGCAACATGGCGAAACCCTGTCTCTACAAAAAATACAAAAATGAGCTGGGTGTGGTGGTGGGTGCCTGTAGTCCCAGCTACCTGGGAGGCTGAGGCAGGAGAATCACCTGAACCCAGCAGGTCAAGGCTGCAGGATCACACCATTGCACTCCAGCTTGTGCGACAGCGGGGACTCTGTCAAAAAAAGAAAGAAAACAAACCTGAGTGACTGGTGTGTCTGGTATTCTGCAATCCTCAAATCCATCTTGTCCTCACCCCCGTGCCCAGGTAGATATTATTATTCCCTTTATGAGTCAAGGGAGATTCAGAGAGGTTGATAATTCACTCAAGGCCACACAGGATCCAGACCAGCCTGATAGATGCAGCTGTTTGGAGCTATTTTCTGCCTTTTTTTTTTTTTGATATGGAGTTTCACTCTTGTTGCCCAGGCTCAAGTGCAATGGCACAATCTCAGCTCACCGCAACCTCCGCCTCCCGGGTTCAAGCAATTCTCCTGCCTCATCCTCCCAAGTAGCTGGGATTACAGGCATCTGCCACCATGCCCAGTTAATTTTTGTATTTTTAGTAGAGATGGGGTTTCACCATGTTGGTTTTGTTTTGTCTTTGAGACATGGTCTCACTCTATCACCCAGACTGGAGTGCAGTGATGCTCTCGTGGCTATCTGCAGCCTCAACCTTCCAGACTCAAGCCATCCTCAGCCTCCTGAGTAGCTGGAACTACAGATACTCACCACCACCCCTAGCTAGCTAACTTACTTTGTTTCTTTCTTTCTTTCTTTTTTTGAGACAGAGTCTCTCTCTGACACCCAGGCTGGAGTGCAGTGACACAATCTCAGCTCACTACAATCTCTGCCTCCCAGGTTCAAGCAATTCTCCTGTCTCAGTCTCCCAAGTAGCTTGGATTACCCAGCTAACTTTTGTATTTTTAGTAGAGACAGGGTTTTATCATGTTGTCCAGGCTGGTCTTGAACTCCTGACCTCAAATGATCCACACACCCTCCCAAAGTTTTAGGATTACAGGCATGAGCCACTGCAACCAGCCCCCAGCTACATTTTTTTTTTTTTTATTTTTGTAGAGATGGGGTTTTGACAGATTGTCCATGCTGGTCTCGAACTCTTGGGCTCAAGTGTTCTTCCTGCCTTGGTCTCCCAAAGTACTGGGATTACAGGTGTGAGCCACTGCACCTGGCCCAGGAGCAGTTTATCTGGGGCTCTCTCAGCACTTCCAGGGTACTTACGGTCTGCACCTTGGCAAGTCATCTCCCCTCATTAAGCCTCAGTTTTCTCATCTGCAAAATGAGACTTAAGTGGCTGACTCAGCCCTGGACAGCCCCCACCCCACACCTGTCCCACTGACCTCATTGAGGCAGGTGGCCTGGAAGCAGTGGTCCCTGGGGGAGGGACAGCCACAAACCCTGTCCCATCTAGGGCAGGGACAGTGGGATCTCCCTGAGAGCTTCTGGTCTAATTGCCAGCAGACCCCAGGGGGCTGTGGCTGCTTGGTGCTGCTTCCTTAGGATCATTTCATGACTCAGGAAACTCACGCGGGGAGTTCCTCCAAGCCAACCCTGGGACCCACAGCTACTCTGTGGCCTAAGGATGGGCTACTAACACCAGACTGGGCACTTCTACCTGCCCTCCACGCTGGGTGCCTCTCACAGTTGCTCTCTCTCAATTCCCAAGGTGCCTTGTGAGGTCAGTACCTATGTGCCCCCTTTCCAGACAAGATATCCCAGGGAGAGGGAGGACCGCCCAGAACTGCCTCAGTTTCTCCTTCTGGGAAATAAGAATGATGAGGCACTTATTTGGGCAATACCTGCCCTTCCTGAGCCTCAGTTTCCTCACCTGTAAAATGGTATGAATCTGACTCGCCAGGTCAGTGCAAGAATTCACCACCAAATAATAACAATAATGCCAAATTATTGAGCACTTACTTTGTGCTGGCTACTTTTCAGGAGTTTCGTGTGCATTAACTGTTTTAGTCCTCACAGCCGTCTTAGGAGATAGGGCTTGCTATTATCCCCATTTTACACCTGAGCAAACAGAGGCACCAAGAGGCTGAGAAGAAACTCCCCCAAACACATATAAAGGGCTTAGCACAGAAGAGGCCTCCATAAAGTTAATACTTATTTCTCCTTCATTCCCTCCAATATCAAGCCAAGCCCTTTCCCACCATCTCCACCCTTCCAGTTTCCTCTGCCTTCTCTGGACAGCGACCAATGGTGTCATTCGTGGGATCACCTGGGGGCCAGAGTTGCAAAGCTTTTACCTTAGCTAAAGTTAGACACAAAAGGAACTTCCCAGCCCCATGGGGACCATGAGCAGCAGACCATGTCCCCCAGTGAGAGATGCTGGGATATAAACCAACGCTGGGACAGAAATCGGAACAGGGGTCCTTCCCATGTTCCTTCCACTCTTAGATTCTAAAAGCAGGGCTGCAGTGTGGCCTGTGCAGTGCCATCTCTCTCCCTGGGACTGGGAAATGCCAGGCTATTGTCTGGCACTGGGGGAGGAGGAGTGTCTCGGTGACAAGGTCCAGGGATTGGCAAGTACACCCCCTTCCCCACCCCATGCACGCCAGCCCCCCCAGAGCAGCTGGACAGCATTTCTGCTGTCTGTGGGCTCATTTATCATTCAGAAGGGGGCACTGCTGCCATAAGGTCCCAAGGGACGGCTCTGCCGTAGCCCCATCTGATTGAAATCCAGGCCCAGCACACACTCAGCCAGGAAAGTGGCTGCCTGGAACCCGAAATAAATAACTCCGTGGGCAGGAGGCACAAATCTGCTGCTAATTACGGCATATCCTGATTAAATGGGGTGCGTAAATAAATATTTCAGCTCAGAAGATGAATAGACTGCGAGAGCTGCTGTGGCCAGCCCTACTCCAAGCCCCTCTTGCCCTTCTTCCTCACAGTGGCAAAGGACAGGGCCTTGGCTCCACTGCAGTGTGACTCAGGATCTCTCACTCCCCGCCTCCGGACTCCAGTTTCTTCATCGTCAAACAGTGTCAAAGATCACTACTCAGCCAACTTTGCAGGCCTGGGGTGAGAATGTGAACAGAGCATTTGGAGTGATTTTGACAGAGCCAAGGAGGCAGTGATTATGAATGGGAAAGAATTAGGCCAGGCACGGTGGCTCACGCCTGTAATCCCAGCACTTTGGGAGGCCGAGGTGGGTGGATCACGAGGTCAAGAGATCAAGACCATCCTGGTCAACATGGTGAAACCCCGTCTCTACTAAAAATACAAAAAAGTTAGCTGGGCACGGTGGCGCGTGCCTGTAATCCCAGCTACTCAGGAGGCTGAGGCAGGAGAATTGCCTGAACCCAGGAGGCGGAGGTTGCGGTGAGCTGAGATCGCGCCATTGCACTCCAGCCTGGGTAACAAGAGTGAAACTCCGTCTCAAAAAAAAAGAATTAGGAATTTGGGCTGGGTGCAGTGACACACCTGTAATCCCAGGACTTTGGGAGGCCAAGGTAGGAGAATTGCCTGAACCCGGGAGTTTGAGACCAGCCTAGGCAACATAGGGAGACCCTGTCTCTATGAAATAAAATTTAAAAATAAATGAAAGCATGAGAAAGTTGGAACCAGCCAGTCTTGGGTTTGCATGCCACCTCTGGAACTCTCCCTGTGGCTCAGTTTCCCCTTCTGCAACTTGAGGAAAGTAGGGAAGAGCCAGCAAACCCTCTGGGCTGTGGTAACCCAACTCCATACACTTGGGTCCTGGTAGTTATTGTTATTATACATGGAGGTCTCTGGAAGACCCAGCCTCAGGCAAGGCCACATTCTCCATTCCATGCCCATGTGGAGGACAGGCCTGGAGGATTTGTTTTCCCAGATGCCCACCTCCTTACTTCCATGAGGCAGAGCGATAATAGAATCAGGGGCCCAGGGAAGGCAGAAGGGAGAATCATCCTGAAAAACTTTAAATCAATTAACTTCCTTCCAGAAAACAGACTGGGAAATGTAATGGAGAAATAATGACTCTTCTCCACTGGATTAACTGACATAGACCAGGGCCCAGCAAGGAATTGCAGAGGAGGGCTCAGGAGCCTTGTTTCTGATGGGCTATGTGGCCTTGAGCAAGTCTTAGTCCTTCTCTGAGCTTCAGTTTCCCCATCTGTACAAGGAGGGGGCTTGGACCAGCATCAGGAAATGCTAATCAATTGCATGACTTCCCTAACTCTCCCCTTCCTTGCCCACGGCAGGCATTGCTAATCGGTTGCAGCACCATTCTCACTGAGCCCAGATGGGATAGCAAAACCAACCCAAGCCAGTGCTCCAGACATTCCCTCCTGATGGTTCAGAGTTGGCACCAGGCACCAGACCAGTTTAGATGGTCTCCAAGTCCTCATCTAGCACTCGGTCAACATTGATGTGATTATTATTGCTATTGTTGGTGTTGTTATTGCTCTTGCAGGCTCAGTGTCCATTGTAGCACTGACAACAAAGGTTAACCTTCACTGAGTGTTATATATCACACTTGCTCACAGTCCATACATAGATGATCATATGCATGTATGTATCCTACATAGATACATAGTTCATTAATACGCAGATGAAAAAGACCAGGTCCCTGACTTGAAGAGCCTTCCAATAAGTGAAACCGACAATTATTTCCTCTTAGCTGTCCCTTTCCTGAGAGAAAGCCCATGAGACTTTCCATTTTGCAGGGGCGGGTAGATCTGACATTGGAACACCGGAGGAAGGATTTCATTCAGTAAATCTTTACTGGGCACTTTCCATGTGCCCAGCATATTCGTGGGGTTGAACTCATTGTATCTTTCCCTTCACTCTTGCAAGAATGCTTCCACCATTTTATGTGAGAGAATGTTGGGATAAAAAATAACAAGCAACAACAACTATCTACCTATCTATATCTATATCTGTCTATCTATCTATCTGTCTATATATATATACACACACACATGTCAGGGAATGGATGCTAAGGCTCAGAATGGTGAAGTGACTTGCCTAAGGTCACACAGCTAGTGATGGAGCTGGATTTAAACCCAAATATCACTTCCTAGTTCCCTGGTTTTTTCTGCATCATCGGGCTGTCTGCTGGAACCAGAGTGAAGACACACAGAGAGTTAGTTTCCTGACAAAAGCCATTCCGAGTCAGGCCCAAGCTAGGGACTCCATATGCATTTCTTCATCTTCTCCTCCCTTGCAGCCCCACGAGGTTGATACTGTCATTCGTGTCTTTTAGAGAATAGGAAGCTGAGGATCAGAGAGGTGAAGCAACTCACCCGAGGTCACACAGTCAGTTTGGTTTCATATTCCAGCCTATTCGACCTGGGGCACATCTTGATGTATCGCTGGTTTTTATGCTGAACATAAAGACAGCAGGATTGTTCCTTGTTGCAAAGATGGTTTCAAAGGCAATGAGAAATCCGCTCCATTAACAATGGCGAGAACATATTTTAAGGCCATGGAGTGACAACTCTGAGCGATAATGGTTGACAGAATGACTGCAGGCAGTTTAGCAGATCCCCTAACTCCTGGATCCCAGCCAGGGACAAGGTGGGGAGTAGCTTCCTGGAGCTCCCTGGGTCTGAACCTAGGTCTGGGACTACGGTAGGGAGCCCAGCACAGCTGGGCAAGAAGCTGGGACCCAGCCTATCGATGACAAAGGGCCCGATCAATGGTATCTCCCCGGGCCATGCCTGGCCAGACATTGATTTCTACTGCTGCTAACTCTCTGTTTATGTAACGCCTGAACTTTGCACAACTGAACCATTTAATGTTCAGAAGAGGGCCTGTTGCCATGAAAACCAGGCTGCACGTGGCAGCCGGGATGCAGAGGTATCCCTGTTTTATTGGCCTGCGCTGAATGTATTTTAACCTTGATAAGTCAATAACTTTTTGTACAAAAGGAGATCTGCCAGGAAGGCTTAGGAGGACCTGGTTGGTGGGGGGGTTGCAGGAGGGGGTGTGCGGGGGCTGTTGGCCTTTCCAGGTCGGAGGGGAGGTGGGGCTGGCTGGGTTTAATCCCCTGGAAATCTCCCTGCCACTCAGAGCCTGGGAGAACCAAGCCCAGCTGACCAGAGGACAGAGACAAACTTCGAGGCGGGGATGGTGGGGACCACCCTCATCTCCAATCACTATTTCCTGTTTGGTAAGGACTGCAGCTAAGTCAGAAACCCTCTATGGCAAACAGACGGACCGGGGTTCAAATCTTGGCTCCACCCACTCAGGGGCTCTGTGTGACCTTCAGCAAGGCCAGTGACTCCAGCCTCAGAATCCGCATCTGTAACACAGGCCATCGGCTCCTCTTCGTGAGCTTGTTGCAAAGTTAACAGATCCTGTATGCAAAGCACAGTGGGACCTTCATGGATTACTGTTGTCGATATATTTTACAATAATAATCATTGATTCTATTTGTAGAACACACTAGGCTTGGGGAAATGTTACATCCATTTTCTCATTACACGCTTGGCTAATTTTTGTATTTTTAGTAGAGTTTAGTAGGGTTTTGCTATGTTGGCCAGGCTGGTCTTGCACCCCTGGCCTCAAGTGATCTGCCTGCTTCAGCCTCCCAAAGTGCTGGGATTACAGGCATGAGTCACTGTATCTGTCCATCATTGCAGTCCTTGATTTAGGCAGGCTGGGGTAGATAGCCCCACTTTTTAGATAAGGACGCTGAGGCCCAGGGGGTCACATGATAAGATGGTGGTGCCTACTGAAGGAAGCAAGTCTCCTGACTCCCAGCTCAGTGCTCTTTCAAACTCAAAAACACAAACACAGAAATAGCCCCCATGCTATCAGGACTAGCCCAACGTCCAGCCCAGACTCATGGCAGACATCACTAATCCATGGCAGCACTGCGACTTTCCCTTCCGAGCCTGGGCAAGTCCTCAGAATCCTCCTCAACACAGAGAAGGTGTTTGAGATGAGACTCATGTGGAACCAGCTGTCCTGAGAGGGCTCTGGGTTCAAGTCCCACCTCTGGCCTAAACTTGCATGACTTTGGGCAAGAGCCTTCCCCTCTCTGGGTCTCCTGATCCCCAGTAGTAAAACAAGGGGGATACTTAATGGTTCTTGATTCTCTGAGGGGGTCTCCCACGTGGAAGGGACACCCTCCCACCTTCTGGTTCCTATCCCAACTCCCCTACAACCAATCCCTCTGAACCTTCCCCAGCTCCATCCACAAATACTGACCTAGATCCTACTATGTGCCAGTGACTACGTAAGATGCTAGGGACACAGCAGTGAAGAAATGACAAAGGGGCTTTCCCCTCCCAGAGCTGAGTCTAGATAGGGAGATAAAAAATAAATGTCATCCAGGCCATGTGTGGTGGCTCACACCTGTAATCCCAGCACTTTGGGAGGCCGAGGTAGGTGGATCACCTGAGGTCAGGAGTTTGAGGCCAGCCTGGCCAATATGGTTAAACCTTGTCTCTACTGAAAAAAATATATATATATCTGGGCATGGTGGTATGTGCCTATAATTCCGGCTACTCAGGAGACTGAGGCAGGAGAATCACTGGAGCCCGGGAGGCGGAGGTAGCAGTGAGCCAAGATCACACCACTGCATTCCAGCGACAGTCTATCTCAAAAATAAAAATAAAACATAAGAAAATAAACGTCATCCTACAAGTGCTCAGAGAGCTGCCAACAGAAGTAAGCACTGGAGAGAGGGAAAGCAAAACAAAAGGGTGGTGATCTGGGGACAATAACCTCTGAGTGGTCAGAGAGGGCTCTTCGGAGAAGGTGACATTTAAGCTGAGACTGGAGGGATGAGAACAAACCAGAGAGCAAAAGGAAGACTGTTCAGACAGAAGGAACGGCTTGGATCAACGCCTTGAAGTGGGGAATAGTTTGGCATCTTCAAGTAACCGAGAGGAGACTAAAGTGCCCAGAAGGGCGTGAGGGTGGGGTGTAGTCGGGGAGCTTGGCAGGATTCCGTCCCTGAGGCCACCTGGACCTCCTCAGCCCTATACATGCCTTGCCCACTCCCTTGGCCTCCTTGCTCCCCTAGGCCTGCCCCAGAGAGAGACTCAGGTACTGTGGGGTGGGGCTGGGTGAATTACAAGGTTACACGTGTTTCTTCTTTCCCCTTTTCTCCAGGAGGAGCATAAAGAGCTCTTTCTTTTCTGCTTATTAATAGCTCTGATTAAATTATCTCTGAAAAACCTACGTGGCATGCACCAATGGGGGCTCAGTTCCCTCTGGGCTCTGGCCTAGATCACAGCAATGAGGGCAGGTGAGGCAACTGGGGGTGGGGTGGGAGGCTGGAGTGGGCCTGCCTCTCCTCCTGGATGAAGGCCCCGCCTCTGCCTCTCCCCAGCCCCAGCTTGGCCTCTCACCCACCTCTGCTCTTGGGGCGCTCACAACTCCCTCACTTGGAACTCTAGGACTGTGCATTGGTGTTCCCTCTGTCAGGAGCCCTCTTCCCTCACCTCTGCCCTGGGCTACCTCCTACCCATTTTTCCCAGGATAGCTGACTTGTCCTTTTTTTTTTTTTGAGACAGAGTCTCGCTCTGTCGCACAGGCTGGGGTATAGTGACACTACCTCGGTTCACTGCAACCTCCACCTCCTGGGTTCAAGTGAGTCTCCTGCCCCAGCCTCCAGAGTAGCTAGGACTACAGGCACACGCCACCATGCCCAGCTAATGTTTATATTTTTAGTAGAGATGGGGTTTCACCATGTTGGCCAGACTGGTCTTGATCTCTTGACCTTGTGATCCACCCGCCTAGGCCTCCCAAAGTGGTGGGATTCCAGGCGTGAGCCACCTCGCCTGGCTGCTGACTTGCCTTTTTACCATCACTAGCCCTCCACTGAGTCAGGTGCCCACTCCAGGTTGTCCCCTCTCCTGGTACCTGGATGACACCTGGTAGTTGCCTTCTCTGTCCCCCATTAAACCTGAGTTCCAAGAAGCCTATGTCTTGGTCTGAGTCACTGCTGAATTCCCAGTATCAAGCACAGGGCAGAGAGTTAGCAAAGGTTGAATGAATGAGGGAATTAGCGGACTTAAAGGGGGAATGCTCAGGCTTCAGTGAGCGAGAGTAGAGAAGGGCAAGGGGAGGACAGCTGCAGTGGCTCAAGTCCGTAATCCCAGCACTTTGGGAGGCCAAGGTGGGAGGATCACTTGAGCCCAGGAGTTTGAGAACAGCCTGGGCAAAATAGCAAGAGCCTAGCTCTACAACAAATTTAAAAGTTAGTTGGGTGTGGGGGTGTGCACCTTGTAGTCCTAGTTACTCAGGAGGCTAAGGTGGGAGGATCACTTGAGCCCAGGGGTTCAAGGTTGCAGTGAACTATGATGGCACCACTGCACTCCAGCTCAAAAAAAAAAAGAGAAGGGCAAGACCGACTTCACATACACGGGAGGGCGGGAGAAAAAATTCCACGCTCTGGGCCCCTTGAGCAATGCCTTGATTAATTGAGATGACAATTAATCTCATTTCAAGGATGGGGGAAACTGAGGCACAGAGAAGCTGAGTCGTAGGGTTAGTAGCCCAGTCGGCCTGACTTCACTCCCTTCTCCTCTTCATTCTCCCCCTCTTCACGAAAACCAAACAAAACAAAAACTTGGGCCACATTCATTCAGTGATTCAGAGACTAAGTCAACAAACCTTCACTGAGTGCTGACCGCACGTCAGGCCAGTGCTGGGAATAAAATGGTCTGAATGCAGCCTCTGCCCCGGAAAAGCCCTCAGCTCAGTGGGAAGCCTGACAAAGAAGTAGGCCATTATAACACACACTGGACACATCTGTGAAGGGAAAAGTACTCCAATCTGGAGCAGGGTAGTCAGGGAAGGCTTCCCGGAGGAGACAGCACTCTGGCTGAACTCTGAAGGAGGACCAAGAGTTAGCTACATGAAGGGAGAGCATTCTAGGTAGAAGGGACAGCATAAGCAAAGGCCTGGAAGTGAGAAAGTCACGTGCAAGGATATGAAGGTATTTCAGCAAAGTTGGTGTGTGGGAGGCAAACAAGAACAGTGAGGGATGAGATGCCCTCTGCCCCCTGGCCCCTCAGGAGCTCTTGGACCCCTGGCCAGAGCCAGTGTTCTGAGGCTGGCCTGCCTGGTGGTTTCATGGACCGTGGCAAATCCATCTTGACACTGTCTCCAATCACATAATACAGTTATTGGACTCGACCAAGAGCAAAGGTACAAGGGTCTGACCTCAGGGAGATGGATGTAGAGGGGTGGGGGGCTCTGGGAGTGTGGGGATCGGGACAGAATATCTTACGGGGCATTCACCTGCCTGGAGGGCCATGACAGGCACTTAGAAGGCTCTGAGCTCTCCAGCTGGACAGCTGCCTTGGAGCCTGCTGCTGTCAGAAATTCCACCATGAGCCCATCATGGACTTATAGAGCTTCAGAGATGGAGGGGCCTTTTGAGATCTTCTCCCCTGGAATTCTCAGCCCTGGCTGTATCAGGAATCACACAGGAGCTTTGAGAACTGCTGCCCCACCTGGCTGAGGAGAAGCGCTGGGGTTTGGCTCCTACTCTCCACTTCATGGCAGGGGAATCCGACGTCCAGAGAGGAGAGAAGAAACTCCTCTCAAGGTTGCACACAGTCAAACAGTGGCTGCCACAAGGTGCAGTAAATCAAGGTCAGGGCTCTGGACTTTGATTCCATCATTTATGTGACCTTGGGTAAGTCACGTGGCCTTCCTCTGCTGTAAGATGTGCATAGTAATTGTATATACCTTACAGAGTTTCTGCGCGGGTAAAAGGAGATATGTGACGGAAATAGCACTGAGCACATGCCTGGCACATAGTAGGTGTGAAGTCATGGTGACCTACAAGGAAAAAAAACCCAAACTTTGGACAGGCTGTGGTGCGACCTGCTGTCTTCCTCTCCTCTTCGCGATCTCTCTCACTTCCCGGGGTTTTGTTGTTACTGTCCCTCGCCCTGTCTTCGGCTGAAGTCGTCTCCCCACCTGTCCACACCCTAGGTCCACCCAGTGAGTCGTCCCCCTGGCCGCCCTACCTGAAGTCCTCGCAGCCCTGGCAGCTGGCGGGAGCGGGAAGCAGCTGGCTGCAGATCACATTTCCAGGTAAATCCCCACCCCTACCTTCAACATGGGGAGGGAAAGGGAGGAGGTGGGAGCGGCCGCGGAGAAATAGAGCGGAGCTGCTGGGAATCGCGGGCGAAGCAGCCGCTCAGAGGCCTGAAACAGGGCCAGCTCCTGCCCTAGATAAGGCGGCTGGTGGCCTACTTGGGCCGGCTCTGGAGGTCCGTCGCGAGCGCCTCTCCCGGCAGGGTGGGTTGACTCCTGGAAGTAGGCTAGATCCAGTCTAAAAACAGCCCGTCCGCCGGATACACTCCTTAGGGTCTCCGAAGCCCTTCAATCCGGGTGAGTACAGCGGACATTTATTGAGCACTTAATGGGTGTTTTGAATCCTTTACAAGCAAGAATTCATTTTGCCCTCAAAACTACCCTATAAGGTAGGAATTATGATATCTCTCATTTCACAAACAAGAAACTGAGGCACAGACCCTTGGAGATCAATGGCAAGACCAACAGCCAGCAAGGGCGGGGCTGGAGTTCCCACCCAGTTCAATGGGACTCCAGGCAGGACACGGGCATAGCCTGAGGGGTGGGGGAGTCTGGCTGCTGCTCTGCATTTCTAGGGGGATCTTTGTTATTATCCCAGAAAGCTGGCTTCCTACATTGCTGTGTGATGGACACGTGGCAACTGAGGGAACTACCCTACGCAGGACTCAATTTCCCCATCTGTAAATGAGACTGCTAGACGGGCCACCCCATGGGTTGTGAGAACCCAGGAAGCTTCTTTAAAAGTGAAAGGCAAAGCACAATATAGTTTGATACATTCATATTTGAACCCCAGGTTGACGTGAAACTCTGCCTCAGTTTCCCCATCTATTAAGCGAGGGAGAAGGCTAGCGCCTGTCTTCTGTGGGCGTGGGGTAAGTCTAGAACGTTTAGTTGCAAATTGCTTAGCGCTGTGCTGGGTTATATAGTTAGCACGCCACAGATCCCAGCTGTGATGCCAAAAACACATCACTGCTAAAAATAAGTCTTAGGACAAAAACATCCAGGACCGTGTCACTTCATATCTCCTAACCTCAGTTTCCTCCGTAAGTTGGAAGTATAATAATAGCACCTATCATATCAGTTTTCTCATCTGTAAAATGGGGGTGATAATACCCACTCACACTGTTGTTGTGAGGATTAGGTAAAGTACTTTGCTACATAGTAGCTACCGTTGTTATTGGTTATTATTTTTAACAAATTCCTCATAGGGTTGGTTGTTGCCAAGATTAAATAAAATAAGGCCGATAGTGCACTTATACAGTGCCTTGTCCCAAGTATGTTATCAATAAATGACACTGGTTTTGCCATCCCTACTTCCTCGGCAAAGGGACTACAAATACCAGCATGCCCTGCGCCTCCGGTAGGGGCCCCTCCGCCCGGCGCCGGCGCTCAGCATGCCGGGAGTTGCAGTCCTCGCGTGGCAGGTTCCGCCTCGTCCCTTCTTGGGGGAGGAGGTTGGAGAGCCGCCCTGCCGACCTTTGAATTTTGCCGCGAAAAGCGCGCGTGGCGGCCCCCGGCTCCGCCCCCCGCAGGACGCGGCGCCGCGTCACCCTGGTAACCGCCTCTCAGCCGTCGCTGATTGGACGGGGCCTCGGGGGGCGGGCGGGGGACCAGACGCGGGGGCTGCTCCTGGCGCTCGCGCCTGTCAGTCGGTCCGGAGCGGAGCGGCGGGCAGAGCTGCCGGGCTGGCGGTTCCGCGGAGAGGCTGCGCGCGCCGGCCGGGGAAGGCGGTCAGCCGGGCCCGCTGCCTGCGGGGCGCGGCGCGCGGCGCGCGGCACCCGTGCCTGAGAGGCTAGGCGCCGGCGCGCGCGCAGACGACGCGAGGCTGCGGCCCCTGGAGCCCCGGCGCGCCGCCGGGGGCCATGGGCGCGTGAGAGCCCAGCGCGCGCGGCCCCTGCTGCAGGTCGCGAGCTCGCATACCGGGTGCGCCGTCCCCCGGGCAGTCCCTGTGTCCGCCCTGCGCCACTGGGATCGGCAGTTTCTCAGCGCCGAGGCCCCCGAGGCTGCATCCGAGCTTGCGTCGCCCGCTGCTGCCGCCGCCGCCGCCGCTCGCCGGCTTCCCCTCCCCCCACACCCGGGGCTCAGAGCAGGAGGAGGAGGGGCCCGTGCATTCTCGCCGCTGCTCTTTGCAACCTGCGGGGGCCAGTGCATGTCCGGCGAAGAGCCGGGACCGCTGCGGGTGTGTGCACCCCCCGGAGAAGACAATCCCCCCACCTCCGAGCGAACCGGGGGGCTGCAAGCCGCGGGCGGGCGGGCGAGCGAGAGGAAGCAACAAAGACAGGCTGCAGCTGGGGCTGGCGAAAGGGGCCGCGGCCAGCAGGGCTCCCACCGCGGGCGAAGAGGGCGCCCTGGGAGCGGCGCGGGCAGAACTGCAGTCTTGAGCAGGGCTCCGAGGGGAGGAGCAGCGCCGCCCGCCGGACGCGGTGATTACGGACCCCGGCGAGGATGCATCGCCTGACCGCCCGCGCGGCCCCTGTCTGGGGCGGGTGTGATCCCCGCTGAGCGGAGACCCCCCAACCCCCACCCCGACTTCGGACGGAGCGGGCCGGCGCCGGGATAGCCCTCACCAACAGCCTCCCTTCCCGCCAGGAGAGAGACATTGGCCCCCAAGGGGGGCTTCCTCAGTCAGCCTCTGCCACCCCTGCATGGCTGCGACCCACCGAGCGGAGCGTTGTGGTAGCTGAGACCTGGTGCCCTTCGACGGCCTGGCTGATCCGGTGAGTTGCGCAGGGCGGGGTTCTGCGCTGGAGCTGGGGTCACCCCCTGGCGTTGCACAGAAGAAGCCCTAGGCTGTTTGGGGTCCTGAAGTAGTGATAAACCTTGTCAGTCCCCTTTCTTCCCCTCGAACACAACTTGTTCAGACGAGCCAGTCGACGGGAGTGGAGGTTGGGGGGCCGGTGTGGATTCCCCGGGGCTCTGGGCGAGTTGGTTGCCAGAGAGGAAAGGTCACCCCACCCGGAAAGCTAACAAAAATAGCGTCTCTGTCATCCCAAAATTCCCTGGAAACTCCAGTGTCTTGGAAGGACTAGGGGGTGGGGGACCCCCAGGATAGGAAAACGTTGAGGGTTTCCCGAACAACCTCTGAGATCTTCAAGGGAAATCAGCTCAGAGGAGGATTTGGGGGTTCCAGACACGCAGGTGGCCAAGTTTGAGTATTGTGCCCCATGGGGCTAGACCTTAGCAGGGCCCTCCTTCAGACCACGTTCCCACAGATAACTCACAGGGACAGCAGGTTCCCCAGAGGGGTAAGACATGACGTCAAGGCTCAGCCTCTGATGTCACCGGGGTTGCCATGACAACACCACTTGCCTTGACCCAAGGCTGGAGGGGGCAGGGTCGTGGTAACCAGGGACGGGGCTGGATGCCTTTGGGTACTGGAGGAGTGAAGGCAGATTCCCCCCGCCCCCCCATTACAGTCCTCTGACCTAAATCCTTAGCGCCCCATGAGGTGGGGGAGGAAGGCAGTGCCAGCTGTCCCTGCTGATGCTCCTCCCCCCGAAGGACAGGTGTTCAGAGCTTTGCCCATGTAGCCTGGCAGTGCCTGGGGGCTCAGCAACTTTCTGTTTTCAAAAGAGATGCTATAGAAGAGACCTCCCTGAACCCCATCAGATACCCAGCTGGCAGGCTGAAGTTCCCAGGGTCCCCAGAGAGATGTGGGCCTCTGGCCTTCCAACAGGCCACTTTTGCTCTGGACAATGTGGGTGCCCTGCCCCCAGCCAGGGAAGGTGTAGTGGAGCTGCTGCCTGCTGCACCTCCCAGTCCAGGGGCTCCCCAAGCCGTTCTACCCTAAGGTCAGGGGCCTTGGCCAATCTGGAACTCCTGACTGCCCGCTGTTCCTTCTGGTGTTTAAGAGGATTTCAACAAACATATTGTGAGGCTCCTTAAGTGAGTGGAGGGCAAATGAGGCCCATCAGTGCCAAGGTCTAAATAAACTGTCTCTGCCAGGGCGCCCCCCACCCCACACACACCCCAGTACTGGCCCTATTCCCTGCAAAGGCCCAGAGAACCCCCAGCCAGCATCCTGTTGCTGGCCCTGGGATTCGTCTAGGTCCCTTCCAGCAATTATTGCCAGTGTCGGATGTTGGTGAAACTACTGTGATCACATTTCTAGGAAAAGGTTCGAAAACTGTCATTGCTTCAGCAGCGTGGGGCAGGGTAAGAGCGGAGAAGTGTGTGTGTACACGGATCCTTAGGAGAAGCCAGGCCTCAGACCCTGCAGCGAGCATCTTCCCTGCTCTCCTACCAGGCTCTCTAGCTAGATTAACAGGTCAATAAATATCGGTGGAGCTGCTTTTGGGGGCTTGGCAGGGAGATGGTATTTCCAGCTGAAATGGTGTCGTTAAACACACAAGCTTCCAAGGACAGAGGAGCAATAGCAGATTGGGGAAGAACCGGGAGAGGTAGGCAGAAGGGCTGTTTGCACTGCCTCTAGAAGCTTCCCAGTTTAGAAACAAACTCGGAGTGCGCGCCAGAGATTCACAAACACAGGCAGTTGGAGGCCCTCCGCCGAGTATTTACACTTCCACAGCCAAGGCGGAGGGAAAGGCTGTCAGAATTGGGCAATTCCTTCTGTTCTCTTCCTTCATCTCCCTGGGCTTGGCAATCGGTGTGCCAGACGATGAGCAGGAGGGAGTGCCAGCTTTCTCAGCATCTCCCTATATGCCAGGCGTTTTATGAGATCTCAGTTACTCCTTGGATCTGTTCATGTGCTGTGGCCCATTTTATAGATAAAGAAACTGAGGCTTAAACAGAGGAAGTGATGCGCTACAGGTGATCAGCCAGACAGCTGCAGAGGTTTGGCCCTGAATTGCCCTGGCTCCAGAGTCCTTGGGTCTTACCACCTCCTCCCACAGGTTTGGGGAGCACCCCTACTTATGGGACAGAAGTCCCTGCAGGCATCAAGGGCTGTCAGCCTTGGAGGGGTAGTCTGGCCCCACCAAGGTGCTTTGTCCACACCAAAAGGCAGATTTGAATCCTTGTTTCCTATACCTACAGGTCAGCATTGAACAGAGTAACAACTTCCGCCCCGGCCTTGTGGTCTGTCTGCTTCCCTCACCCTCAGGACTTCTTTCTCCAGCACTAGGGAAAGGAAGGCATGGTTTGAAACTGGCTCCTTGTCATCTGCTCTTCTGGGCTTGCTTGAAGGGAGGTGGTGAGGCTGCCCCTGGCCGCCCCAGGGACCTTCTTGGGATGTAGACGAGCAAGGGCAACTTTAGTAGATGAGGTTCCTGACCCAGCCCAAGGGTCGGGAAGCCCTAGAGGAGAGGTGCCATGTGAGTTACGAAGAGGACAAACAGGAATGTGCCGGACAGGAGTGAAGACTGTTCTGGGTGGCAGGAGTGGCTCTGGAGCAGCCAGTGATGTGTGTGGGCCCTGGTGCCTGATGGGGGAAGGGGCAGCCGTGGGTGGCTGTGTCCTGGAGCCTCAGGTGTATGGGGAAGTTTTAATTTCAGAGAATCCAGCGATCCCCCTTGACAAGGACAGTAACCCTGGATGTCCCTTCCCATAAGCGTGGAAGAGGCCTCTTGGGTTCTGGGGGCAGTCTCCTCTCTCAAGGTTGGCCCCACCCCCATGCCCAGTAATCCTTCTCACTTGTCTAATTCCTGTAAGCTCATCCATCCCCTGTCCCTTCTGAGCCTTAGGGTTGCTCTGAACTAAACCGGAACTGGGCTGGGCTGCTGAACCCCCTTGATGAGAAACTTGAGGCACCCTGGTGATGGGCAGTGGCTCCTGGTTAGGTACCAGGCTCTGGCATGGGGTGGGCCTATCGTACTCTCAGCCTGCTACTTGCAGGCTGTGTGACCTCCGGTGAGTACCGTTGCCTCTCTGAGCATCAGTTTACTCAAATGTGAGAAGGAGCTGACCATAGCACTCACTGCCCAGGGTCTGGCCAGGATTCAGGGAGGGCCTGCCACAGCCCACAGTATACAGTGAGTACCCAAAATGCATGCCGTCATACCTACTGTTACCTCCCTTTCAGAACAGACCCTTGAGTGACTCTCTCAGACCCTTGGAGCCAAAGGTTGAAGACCCCAGTTGCAAGGAGAGGCCGGAACCCTACCAGCTGCCTCTGCCAGGGGCTCCCCTGTCCACTGAGGCACCTGCCCACCTACCCACCCACCGTCATGGCGAGCACTCCTGGCTCCCTTCTGAGCTCCTGAGGGGGCTGGGGCTTGGCCGGGGTCCCTCCGCAACCTCCTTCCAGCCCCCTCTGCCTTCCCATCCCTTACAAACCGGAGGAAGCCAGCGAAGCAGCTCATATTCATGAACCGTAATTCAATCAGGCGGCGATTCCTCTGGGCTTGGGGAGGGGGTGAGAACGAGGAGGCGCGCACAAAAGGGCCGCTTTATTACCTCCCGCGGGCCGGGAATTGCTGCTCTCCCCCAGCAGCGGCCGGAGCCGCCTTTATTGTGTTAACCCATTTGCGTGTCAAGAGCTATTGTGCGCTTTCTCTGCCTGTGCGTGGCGGGCCGCGGGAGGAGGGCTGCGGTGCTGGCCGGTCACCTCCGCGGGCACCGCCCGCCGCCCTGATTGGTTGCTAAGTGATTTGCATCCAAGGTAATCACTTTTATCTCAGAAGGATGTCGACTATAATTATAAGCTACTGACATCTTTTGAAATCTGCCTAATGACTATTTTAGTCTGCACGGGCTGGGGGTGGGGAGGGGATTCTGGAGAGGGTACAGGCTGGGAAGAGGGATGGATTCCTTCCACCTGGACCCCTGATTGCTTAGTTGAGAAATATCAGAGTGCCTACTGCGTGCGTCAAACAAAAGACGGGGTCCCTGTGGTGGGGGCTTGCATTCCTGTGGGCAGAGTTAGTGCCACTTGAGAGAGGGAAACGGAGGCCCTGGGGAAGGGGCGACCTGCCCAGACCACACAGCCAATACGCAGCCACCATCTGGGGGTCTCTGACCCCAAACTCATGCCCTGGCCACTCCAGTGGCCACAGTCAGGAAGAATGTCATCATACCTGGATACAGGTCACCAGTTTGGTACCTCTAGGGTTTACATCCTACCCGTAAGAAATGCACGTGCTGGTACTCTGTTTTGCTGAAAAGCAGAGGCCCAGAGAAGGTATTATATTTTGCTGCCTGAGGTCACACAGCCAGGGAGGGAGTGGTAGAAGTATGAGGTTTGTTAGCAGCTAGAGATGGGAAGGCCCAGGCAGGGTTCCAGCTTCCCCTCCTCTTCCCACCCCCTCGTGGTTCCATTCAGTAAAGCCAGGCATTAGGTCACGACTGAGCCAGGACACCCTGTCGCCCCTGTCCTGGTGGCCAAGTGATAAGGAATCAGACGGCCCGCAGCCTCTAGAGGGAGTAAGATGAGTCTACAGCTAACTTGAATTCTAGACAGAGCCAGAGCAGAGCTGGAGGAGAGACACCGAGGAGGGAAAACCTGCAGCTGGTCTTGGAGGGCTTCCTGACAGAGGGTCTGTGCTCTGTGCCCTGAGGACTGAGTGGCTCTGCCCAGCATGGAGTGAATGGGGGTGTGTCTGGCAGAGGGAGTTCCAAGATCCAGGCACATGACCAGAAAGGGCAGAGGGGGCGTATAAGACTGTGGAGGTGAAAGGGACAAACTAGGAGAGTGTGCAGGGGGCATCAGGTGCTGAGCTAAGGATGCTGGGAGGCCCACCGGAAGAGGGAAGCCAGTGACAGCATCTGAGAGGCAGGGGCCAGCTAAGTTCCCAGCTTAGAGGCCAGCAGAGAGCTTGGGAGTTGCAGACCTGGGCTCCATCCTGGTGCGAGAGAGCCCCTGTGCTCTCACTGGCTGTGTCCTCAGACAAATCATTTTACCCCTTCTGCGCCTCAGTTTCCTCTTTTGTTCAGAAGGGTAACAACAGCTTTCTCATGGGCTTGTGGGTGAGGTGAGCTTGCCTGTGCAGAGTACTTGGGGGCTTAGATGAGCCTCTCAGAGCTGGGTGGGCTGGGCTTGAGTACAGGCCCCGGACCAATCCTCCTGGCCCCACAGCAAGCCAGCGTCCCAGCCACAGCAGCTGTTTGGGGCCCTGGGAGCCCCTGCTATTGTGCAGAGGGCACAGGGGACAAAGGCCTGGGAGGTCAGGGGATGAGGCTGAGACTGGCTGTGAACAGGCTCCCGGGGACTGGGACTTAATGACGCAGAACTTAATGACCCAGAGTCTGTGGGGAGGGGGCCTCCCTTGGAGGAGGAGGGAGGTCCAGCCACCAGCTGTCTGCTCCAGGATTCGCTGCCAGAGTACGGGCAGCTGCCTTGCAGAGTCCAGGCCTGAGCTTGGCACTGGGGGAGGCAGAGGTGGCAGGGCCTCCCGGCATGAAGTCCCCAGGCCTGAGTGCAGGGCTTGGCCCTGCCCCTCGGCATCTGCAGATTTCTGTCTCTTCATCTGTGCTGGGCTACGGGACCACCTTAGAGGGCAGCTGTGGGGCTTGGCAATAACCGATAGCCAGTGGGCAGTAAACAGGAACTGCTATTTTTGCTCCTTATCCATCCTTTCATTCAGAGAGCTTCACTGCTCTGGGCCAGGTTCCCTTCATGTCATGGGGACATGAAGTTGAACAAGCCTCAGTTGCCTTGAAAGGTGGTGTGTACTGAGGGAGAGTCCTTGAGTGCACCAGCTCAGCCACCCAACAAGTGCATGTGGGTTAATTGCCACAGTGGAGGAATTCACAGTGTGTGGGCACTGTCCCAGGGGCGGGGGGCACAGCAGTGAACAAGCCAGACATGGGCCCTGCCCTGGGCCACCTCCAGTCTCTCAAAGGAAATCAGAGGTAGAAACAATTACTTTTGGCTGGAGTAGCTAGGGAGGGCTCCCTGGAGGAGGCGACACATATAATTGAACACTTTAGCCTATTATGAGAATCACAGGACACTGGTATCTGCTGTGTGTCAGACTGAGCTTCCTACTTTGGCATTTTGTTCTCTCATTTAATCCTCATATCCCTCTCTGTGGGGTGTTTTTATCCCTGTCGTGTGAATGAAGAAACTTAGGCTTGACGATGTGAAGCGGCAGCCCTGAGCCGCATGGCAGGACCACAGAACTGCCTTCATTATTCACACAAGCTTTTGCCTCTCTGCTGCCTATAAGGGTACTGGGCATGGGAGGATCCTTGGGCAGGGGCCAAGGGGACCCTGTTCTGGGCCAGCTGTCTCCTTTATGAGCGTCATGACCTTCAGCAGGTCACCTTCCCTCACCCCTCCCAACCCAGACTCAGTCATGTCCTTCGTAAATGTCAAGGATGGCAAATCTGTGGCAGGCCTGGCTTGCTTTCCACCGCTGTGCCCTTGGCAGACATTGCCAATCAATTGCTGCCCTCTTCCCCTGCTGAGTTCTTCCCCTGACCTTGGGTTCCTTCCAGGGCTCTGGGCAGGCAGCGCCAATCAATCAGCAGGGCCTGTGAGCTGAAACTGGTTGCCTGCCTGGCCTCAATGAGCTCGGGGGTGCCTCTGGCCCATCTCCATGTGGCTCAGAGGACCAGGGGTACATAGTGAGGGATTCTGGGGGATATCTGGGCATTCAGGTTGTTCTTAAGCCACAAGAGCCTTTTAGGTGGGAGGATCTGTTACCCTCCTCTAACCCCAGCGGTGTTCATCTGTGCAGATTCTGAGCGCTGACAATCTGGATGATAACAGTCAGCATGTATTGGGTTCTTCCCGAGAGCTAAGTCCTTCCCGGGCACTCTCTCATTCATCATTTGGCAGAGCACCTACAGCAAGCCTCCCTGCATCTCCAGGGAGAATTCTTAACCCATTTTAGAGATGAGGGAATGAGGCTTGGCTCAATTAAGCAGAGTAGGGTCATGCACTTGTCGTGTAGTCGAGCTGGCATTCACACACAGGTCTCAAGGTTCACAGCCTGGGACGGGGCCGTGGGTGGCAAGCACACAGGGCAGCCTTCCCAGAAAAGATGTCATTTATTTGGAGGCATTAAAGGCTGGTGGGCTTCTGATGAGCAGAGCTGGGGATGGTGACCTTCTGGGCAGAGGGAACAGCATAAAAGGCAGCTCAGAGGCAGACAGGTGAGTGTTTATTGAGAAAGCAGTGCGTAGCCAGATGTGGCTAGAATGTGGAGAGCGAGGACTGTGGAAGGAGCCAGGGCTGGGCTTGATGTTTGGACTTGGTCTTCCCATAGTAAAGAGCTCTGGCAGCCCTTTGAGCAGAGTAACAGTGAAGTCCCATCTAAGAGTACTTATTCGACAGCTCTGTGAATCCTGGGTGAGGGTGCTTGAGCCGGGCTACCTTTGATCTGCTAGAAGCTTTGGCCTAGCACACAGTAGGTAGGCATCCAATAAATATTTAGTGAATGAATAAATGAATGACATTCCCTGGCCTGAAGTGCTCCTGACCTCTCCAGGAACCCAGCTGCAAGGAGGGGAGAGACCAGAGTTCCCCTCTCCAGGCCTGGCAGTAAGGGGCAGGAGAGGGGGCCAGGCAGGTACCTGGGACAGGGCTTTCCTTCCACCACTCGCCACCCTGCTGCCTGTCCCCAAGACCCCTCCTAGACTTTCCTGCTGGGCTGTCTGCACCTTTTGAGCCACGCCTGGCGGGCAGCGTGGGCCCAGCGCTTGGGGGGATGAAAGATGAAGATTCGTGACCATTTTTTAACTCAATAAAGGGAGAGACAAGCTGCAGGCTGCAGGCCGGAGATATAATTAGTTCACAGCAGTGGCGCTTTCTTGATTTAGCTTCTGAGAGAACAAGACAAGGATGTTATACCCAATTAGCAGTAACATCCAGTCGGAGCCTCAATAGGTGAGATAACAAGCTATTTTTATGACTTTTCTTTCCCAGCTTGGAGGAAGGGGGGGAGGGGCTATCAGGGCCTTATTTCTTTTCATCAGGGAACAATTATTGGCGATCTCAGAATTTCCCAAAGCCAAATGATGCATTTGTTAACCCAAACAAGCCAGCATCCCAGGGTAGCAGCGGGGGTGGCAAGTTGGCATTTCGAGCCCAGGGTGGGTGGGAGGGGTGCAGGCCCCTAAGCCCCATTCTGGAAGCCCTCTGAAAATGTTCCCAGATGCAGACAGCGCATTGGCTAGGCAGGAGAAGCACAGGCCCTTGAGATATTCTTAGTACCTGCCTTGATTTCTCTACCTGCTTTCAAAGGAACATGAGGCCAGGCCAGTTTCTGTGGGGATGAGGAAGGAGCCAGTTTTGGCTCTTGGCAGCCCTTGTTGGCACTGCTGTGGATTCTTTCTGCCAACTAGGCCAGAGGTTCTGGCACCTCAGGCTTGAACCTGCCATTGCACTTTGCCCACCAAACCCCCATTAATGGCTTGCCCCACCCAGCCCCCATCCTGCCTATCCTGGGTCCCAGACCCAGTCTCTGGCAAGGGCAGAGTAGTGATTAGCTCCTTTCTTTCCACCATCATTACCCTCGCAGTCAGGACACCCAGCACTGGCCAAGTCCCTGCTGGGCAGGGAAGCCCTGCCAGGCTCCACCCCAGCTGCCTGGCTGTGCTCCCACTCCTGGCGAAGGCTGGGGGATGCCCAGAGAGGGAGCTGGTAGGGCTGCTGTGATGCCCTGTCGGCCTGGGCCCCAAGCCCAGAGCAGGTTCCTGGGCCTCCGCCTGTCCTGC